AGCCCCCGCTACGTGCGAGGGGCCAGCCCCCAGGTACCGCTTGAAAGATGAGGACGAATTCAACTCGGACACCCACCGGTAGCAACTCCGCTGCCTTCAGGGTTGAATTTACCCCAGGTTTCCAAACACGACACCGGCAGCCACGGTGCCGGCGCAGCGCATCCCTCCGGCACGTGGCGAGGGCGTCCCTACGAGTCCCGCAGGGCACGGCGGGGTGCGTGCAGGGCGTAGAGCTTCTCCCAACAGGTTGCCAGCCTCTCCGCCTTCCTCCCGATCTCCCGTAGCTGCTTTCTCCTGCGGCCAGGTCCCCTGCTCCGGGGCTGTGCCGGGATGCGCGGCAGGCTCTGCGGTCAGCGTGCCGAGGGAGCAGAAACACCCCACCACCACCACCACCAGGCAGGCGTTAGTCAGGGGGACAAAAGCCACCGCCCCAGCACCAAGGATGCGCCCTAGGACATCACACCCCACACACATGGGATTTGCATGGGCAAAGCTGCAGGTTGGGGTGGCCAAACCGCCCGTGGCCACAGCAAGGACATGTAGCTGGCCATGCCCCCCCGCGCTGGCAGCACACACCCCACGGCACAGCCACGGGTAGGGCAAAGGGCCAGGCTGGGTCTGGAAGCAGCTTTCCAGACCAGCGGCGCCCCCATCCCACACCAGCAACCCCCCAGGCAGGGTTAGCCCCAGCCGATTTCCCTGGTGATGGTGGGGAGGACGACCCCAGCACCATGCCCGAGCCAGGCAGATCCCGGGAATCAGCGCGTCGCTGCCCCGGGGTTTCCCCGCGCTGGTTAATGAGTTGCTGGTGGATGCCATAGGGAATCCTCCCAGCCGGGGTTTCCCCAGTGGAGCCCCGGGGATACCGGCGGAGCCCTGACCAGCCCTTTGGGGAGAAATCCCCGTTCCTGCTTACAAGCACCCAGGCGTAAGAGCAGGACTGGGTCTGCCCACCCACCGGGCGAGCGTCCCACCGGGACGAGGCCTTGTGTCCCCACCAGCCGTGGCATCGCGGCACGGGCAGACAAACCCGCTTGGGAGCTGGTGGTCAAAACCCCCCCAGCCCGTCCCACGCTGCCACAGCCGGACCCTCCCTCCCCAGCCTGTTTAAAGCTCACTGGGACGTGCCACAGCATCCCCCAGCCTCAAACCCAGCACGGACCCTCACCCCCCCCGGGACGCTGCGGGCAGAGCTTGGGGACTCCTCACGCACGGCCAGGAGAGCGCACAACAGGGCAGGCTCTGCCCGCATGCTGGGGAACTGGGAGCCACTGGGGTGACTGGGAAGGGGCAGGGCTCCCACCTTGCTGATTTTCCTGCAGTTCTCCCTGAGCACGAAGTCAGTGTTTCTGGTCACCTTCCCCACCGCCAGCTCCTCGGGGCCGCGCAGGGTGCCGGCTGCCACCTCCCGCAGGGACATGCTGATGTTGTAGATGGAGAAGAGGATCTTCTGGTCCTGGAGAGGAGAGAAGCACGTGGCCCCGGGCAGGGCGGGGGGCTCGACAGCTCCCCGAGGGCTCAGCCCACAACACCCCAGCCCTGGGTCCCTTGGTGCTCACCTTGTCCGAGCGACAAGCCGGCCCGGCCCTTCCGCTCCCCTGCTCTGACCCACTCAGGTTTTTCTGGAGAAATAAAGCAAGAAGATCAGGCACTCGAAGCATCTGTGCCTCTCACGTGGGGCAGGAATCCCCCATTTAAACACAGTGCCCTCCCCAGAAATGCCAGCAAATCGGCCAACCCCACACTAAGCTTTCTAGGCTCATCCCTCCCCACCCACATCCCACAGCGGGGCCGCATCCAGCTTGGCAGCATCCCCCGGAGTGGGGAGCAGGGGCCCTGGATGGACACGCACCCCCTGCCGCTCACCAGGTTCTGGATCTCGTGGAAGATGACAGCGCGGTACTGCCGGAGGATTTTGGCGATGCTGCACCTCTTCCCTCTGCTCAGCACGGTGACGAGCAGGAGGAGCAGAACAGCGCAGGAGAGCGCCCGGCGGAGAATCTGCGCAGGGAAGGGCTCGGTGTCAGCTGGGGGTGAAGGGATGCTCCGGGCTCTGCCTGCAGCCCCTCATCGCAAGCCTCCATCAGACCTTTTCCCCCCTCTGCAGACGCAGCGTGTGCAGGAGGGAAAGCACCTGCCTCCTCTCCCAGAGGACATCCCCCAGTCCGATGGTCTCCTCTTGGAGCAAAGCCCTTGAGAAGCTGCCCCAGCTTCACCCCAGTCCAGGCTGTGCTGCCCACAGCACCCACTGAGCTCTCTCCGGTGCCAGCAGCCGGGTACCGGGCACAGAGGTGTGGCAGGGACCTTTGTAGGTCTCCAGGATCTGTCCCCAGGCTCTCTGCCCCAACGGGGTCCACAGGACCTCCTCAGCTTGTGGCATTTCAAGCCCAAGCCCTCACCCATCAAAAAATCAAGGGGAGCAGAAAGGGGCGTGCGCTGCTCTTTGGAGAGGAGCAGGGGGCAGGGAGCCGCCTGCTTCCCCACCAGCAAACCTCCACGCCAGTGGTTTCAGGCACCCTGGGAAGGATGCTCTCCGCACCTCCGCAGCACGGACGCAGTTATTCAGCATTTTTCCAGCTCCCACGCAGCTCCGGCTCACCCCAGGCTCGGGTGCCCTCGCGCCAAGAGCCAGACAGAAGCAGCACAAGCGCCTGCTCTTGCCAGCGCGTCCCGGCTGCCTCCGAGCCTCCCAGCTCCAAGCCTTCCCGGCAGCCCCAAGCCGGCCCCAGCAGCGAGGGGAAACCCAAGCGCTGACATCTGAGCTGTCGGGGGCGCGGGGAGGGGGCAGCCGGACCCTCCGAGAGATGAGTCCCAGGGTTTTGAAGGAAAGCCAGCGCTACCTCAGGTGACCGGGACTGGGGATATCTGAGCAGTCCCACAGCAGCGGGGCGAGGATGGGAATTCTGATGCACGCACAGCATCTGCCAGGAAAGGAGCCCCACAGCAATCCATGTCTCCGCATCACTGAAAGATGGCACGGTGCTGCAGCCCCATCCTGGCATCGGGGCATCTCTATTCTCTCCCATTTGCAGGAAAACCCCCCCAGAAAATCCCCCATCCCCCCCTCCCTGGGCATCAGGTCTGGGCAGGCAGAAAGGAGCTCAGCTCCTTCCAAATATGCAACCCCTGCACCCCAGCCAAAGCATGCGGGGAGGAAGGGGCAGGCAGCTCTGCCTGCTGTCGGCATCTGCCTGCCCCGAGCCCCAGGGCGGATCCCGGCAGGGTGGCTGCCCC